GACGATGTTCAATCATTTAAAGAAGTTGAAAATAACGTATCGATGTTCTTAAATTCTTTCAATTTTGCTACTGTTGTAAATAGCATCTAATTTCGTCGTAACTAGACAGCAGAACTTTATGCGAACTCTCATTTTCGTTACCGAGTTTATGAAGCTTGAAGTAAGAAACTTTCTTTTTCAGAACTAAAAGATTGCTTCTGATAGTAATACTTCCTAGTCTATTCAGAGATTTCCACTCATTACGGTACAATATTGAGTGAGTGTAGTAATTAAGAATACTTCCTAGTCTACTCAGAAATTCCCACTCATTATGGTATAATATTGAGTGAGTATAGTAATTAAGAATACTTCCTAGCTTACTCAGAAAATTCTACTCATGATCGTATAATATTGAGTGAATGTAATAATGTATACGTAATAATCTATTCAGAAATTTCCACTCATTATGGTATAACATAGATGTGTATAAGAGACAGCTTCCTAGTCTACTCAGAAATTCCCACTCATTATGGTATAATATTGAGTGAGTATAGTAATTAAGAATACTTCCTAGCTTACTCAGAAAATTCTACTCATGATCGTATAATATTGAGTGAATGTAATAATGTATACGTAATAATCTATTCAGAAATTTCCACTCATTATGGTATAACATAGATGTGTATAAGAGACAGCTTCCTAGTCTACTCAGAAATTCCCACTCATTATGGTATAATATTGAGTGAGTATAGTAATTAAGAATACTTCCTAGCTTACTCAGAAAATTCTACTCATGATCGTATAATATTGAGTGAATGTAATAATGTATACGTAATAATCTATTCAGAAATTTCCACTCATTATGGTATAACATAGATGTGTATAAGAGACAGCTTCCTAGTCTACTCAGAAATTCCCACTCATTATGGTATAATATTGAGTGAGTATAGTAATTAAGAATACTTCCTAGCTTACTCAGAAAATTCTACTCATGATCGTATAATATTGAGTGAATGTAATAATGTATACGTAATAATCTATTCAGAAATTTCCACTCATTATGGTATAACATAGATGTGTATAAGAGACAGCTTCCTAGTCTACTCAGAAATTCCCACTCATTATGGTATAATATTGAGTGAGTATAGTAATTAAGAATACTTCCTAGTCTACTCAGAAATTCCCACTCATTATGGTATAATATTGAGTGAGTATAGTAATTAAGAATACTTCCTAGCTTACTCAGAAAATTCTACTCATGATTGCATAATATTGAGTGAATGTAATAATGTATACGTAATAATGTACTCAGAAATTTCCACTCATTATGGTATAATATTGAATGAGTGTAATAATGAAAAATAGTTCCTAGTTTACTCAGAAAATTCTACTCATGATTGTATAATATTGAGTGAATATAATAATGTATACGTAATAACCTACTTAGAAATTTCCACTTATGATGAAATCATACGTTTGATTATTTGAATAATTTGAACGTAATGTATCGCTGTTCTAAGACTCTTGTACCTCTACTCATTTGAGTAACAACCAACTCCTTCATAACTAGACTGCGGATCTCCATGCAAACGCAAAATGGAGTGCACCGATTGGAAGAAGCAGCAACTACATAAACATTTCTCGCTTCCTTGAATAATGTTAACAAGTTACAAATAATATAATGAATATCTGCTTGTGTCACTTGTGTCACGAATGCATAAAAGCCGCAGTCTAGTCGCCGCCAAATGAATCAAATCCACGGTCCGAACGCGACGAAAGCTATTCACCCTCGCAAAGACAAGACTCTCGCGTCGTCTTCAGGGCCAGCGACCTTGCCAGTCGAACCCATCGAGTCCCTAGTCAAGCACAGTACAGCCATTCTTTCCGGAGCCGACCCGACGATCAGAATTCTCCCGGAAGTTCTCATTCGTCTTCGTTACCGGTAGCCGGCGAATCGTGAAAAAGAAAAAAACGGAAAAAAGAAAAAACGTCGACGACGACGAGGGTGAAATTGCGGAGGACAAAGCTGAGCGCATTATTTCTGATTCCAGGTGACAGTGAACGATCGCCTGGCGCTACGCGGGCCGCTTCTTCTGCCATTCCTTGCCGGCTTCACCGCTCTCAGCGAGCTCGACCTGTCCTTGGACAAGTCGACGATCGGCGGTAGCAGCGGCTCGTTGCTGTTCATCGACGACAAGATCCTGCAGCAGTTCTTCGGCTGCCTGTCCTCTCACTTCCGCAACCTGCAGTCGCTGAGGATCAACTTCTGGCGGGTGACGTTGGAGGACAGCGACAAGACGATGCGCCAGATCGCCAAGTACCTGAAGCTGTGCAACCTGAGCTTCCTGAAGGCGAACGGTCTGATCGTGACCGACAGCGCGAAGAAGGTGCAGATGGAGCACGTTTTCGTGCAGACGCTGGTCACGCACTTGCAGTACCTCACCTGGCTGTGCCTGGACGGCGTCGAGCTGACGGAGACGCAGGCGTCCAGCGTGGGGAAATGCGTCCGGGACCGGTTCCCCGGCACCTCTTTGGAGATCAGCGCCAAGGACGTCCACGTAAAGTCCGTGAAAGCGTTGGTGACCGCCGCGGAGGAAGGCGGCAGGGCCGAGGTGGTCTACACGGGCGGCTCGAACTGCAGATTGAAGATCACCAAGGTCCAGAAGAACGGCAAGTCCAAGAAGAAGTGAGAGCCGTGCACCGGGAAACGCTCGGGACACATAGAGGATTCTTAGTTGCCTGATCAGGAAGCGTCGTGGCCGACGGGAGCCGATGACGAGGATCGAGAATTAAAGGATGATCGATCCGGTGAAACGGATCTTGGGCCGGAGGCACCTAGATAGAGGACGTAAGAGCGTAGCATTAGGACGAAACGAGTCGATCGTAATTACAAAAGGCGTGTATCGTCGACGATTTTTAGCCATAAGAGGCAGCCTAGGATGATTAAGAAGATTAAGAAGGGAGGATTTACGGACACGCGGCGGAGGGGAGGATCGATGGGGCCGACACTTTCTGGATCTCCGTCTTACTGTGATTTCCTTTTACGCGACTGGTCGCCCTCCTAAACGGCAGATCGCTTGGGTAGCGCGGGTCTAGGTGTCCTTGTTTTCTCCGGGAGGATTCTACAGCGTGTCCGACCGATACGGATTCACACACCGGCAGGATTATTGAACGGGGGCGAGATGAAACACGAAAGAGGCTGTTGCAAACTAGATACGTTCGTTGTTATTAGATGGACTGTAAAATACGACTCAGAGTAATATATTATTATGATTATCGTCATTATTGCGCGACTCACCGATCATCAGGATTATTATATTGTATTATTATCGTCATTATTATTATTATTATTAGAGCATAGATTCTTGAATCATGATTATCGAGTGTTAACGATCGATTCGACGGGCAATCGACGATCCAAGAGTGAAAAATGGCTTTACGGGGGACGGAGGGGCGCGTTTGTTGGAGACTTGAAGAAATTTTATAGATATATATATATTATATATTCTATATAGTAGCGCGTAGAGAAAAAAAAATTAAAAAAAAACGTGTCCGGTGTTCCGCGGACTATTATTAAGAGTGAACGGCTATTGTATTGTAAAAAAAAAAGAAGTGGAGACAGACGAAAACGCGAGGACGTGCAAACACGACTGCCAAAATCGTAAAATCGTAGACTTCGACCGCGATCTAGGCCGGTATTAATCAACCTAGTTCGTCACACTTTCTAGGGTAAGCGCCGCGATCCAGCGATCTCTATTGATCGATGATCGCCGAACCAGCGTCGGGTGCGATTTCACGCGATCCATCTGGGAAACTGCGACCAGCAGCTGACTTACAGGGGGTCGCTGTAACTGCCATGCACCTGTTTGGATCGAGATAATTCGATCGGCATCGGTTCAGCTTCGCGCGAAACAGTTCCACGAACCGCAGGTGATTTTCCTCTTCGGTCCCACGTGCGATTACTTCGCGAACGGAACGAACTTTTTTCGATCACCTTTTATCGTCCAATCGCGAGGGATCCACGCGGAGCGTTACTCACCGATCCAACGTTTCATAGTGATCCGAGAGTAAGTTGTTCGACGTTTTTACTCGGGAGGAGAGGTCCGAGGTTCGTCAAAAGGTCTGGTTAGATCTGGTTGGAACTTTTCAATGAATTCTGTTTAAATTCAACTCTTTCCCATTTTGCGACTTTCAACGAGAAACGATAAGGAAACGTTCTTGAAAATGCTGTCGGATCGTTCGCACAGCTGTTTCGTTCTTTCGCGTGAAAATGATAAGACGATTTTTTAATGTTTAGAGTAAAAAGAAACTTCTTGACATTTTTCTGGTACCTTTGAAATCTTATGCTCGTAGAAGTCTTGCTTTTTTATTCGCAAAGCGCTGAATCGAGTGCTCTTTTTAACAGCCGAACGATTAATTAGTTTGCACAGATGTCCGCTGCAAAAGGGAGATACTTTGTTCGTAAACGTTTAAAAAAAAAAAGTTCTCGGTGATCAGTGAACAATATTTTTCATATTTAAGTAGACAATTCACGGTTCCGATGAGAACCGATAAACTACTCGTGAAAGTAACAATTTTAGTTTGAATAGAATATAGAAAATTTGTCTGCGGCGAGTGCGGATACTTCGTTCGTAATTAACAAGTTCTGTTATTGTGCTAAATACCGGATACTACTAATAAATAATATTTTTCATATTTATGTAGAGATAATTCACAGTTGAAACTTTTGACTGGGGTGTCCAAAAAATAATTTGTTCCGTAAGAATTCTTTCCAAAGAGGTTCTCAAGGCTAATATTTCTGGCTGCATAATTAATTCAAAAAACAAAATATTGCGTCAACTCCTGAACATTAATAGCTATCTACGCTATTTCATATTATTTGTCGTGGCAATTGATGTACCTCGAATTTCTTCTTTCGAAGAACAGACCGTAGCAACCCGGGGTCTGTTCTCCGTCATGTCTTTCGGCTCGAGAAATGTACCGCTTGTTTAATTATCTGTTTCGTTGTTGAAGTCGACGCGCAACGCTTTGCGTGAGCTCCCTCGTTAGGTATCCAGGGGCAAGCGTTCCTCACGATTTTTCATTTTTGATAGTTTACTATGTGTATATAAAAGACGCATTGATTGACACCGTACAGGGCGGACGAGATATTTAAATGTACGATCTGTTATATTTGCGAGCCGTTTTAACGATGAACGCTGACACCACGGGTGAAGCCCGAAGCTGGCACTAAAGTGGGATCAGCTTCAGCGATTTTATTATAAATATTTATGTATTTATATGTGTATACATATCCTTCAAATAAATGTAATATGTGTTTCAAGCGGTCCAATTATTTTTTCCCATCGGTTATTATCCTTGCCCTCATCGGAGATTACACGCGAAACTTTTAAACAATAGGTCTAGATATTTACAAATTGGGAGTTTCTTTACGATCTTCGGTGCTCCCGCGGACAATGCAATTTTATCAGTTGACAAGAGAGTCTCGGATATAGTATAAGTATGTTTCTTTATTATTTACACTCTGTCGACACTGAGGTTTCTCCCCTTTCGTCCTCGATCTATACATTAATGTTAATAAAACGTAACAATAAAACTTCGTAATTTTCATAACTCGTTCACTTTCATCCTGGAAATTGCATGATGCTTCGTAAGTAAAAAGAGTCCGATGTGTTCGTCATGTTCTCTCTCGCGTTTATACGCGCACGATTATCATGTAGAAAAATCTGCTGTGTTGTCGGTTCCAGTCTCGATGCTGCTCCCCAACGTCATCACAACTTCAAATGTAACACCATACTCATATCTCGGCTACATGGAATGTCATGATTATGCTTAGGATTTACGCAGAGCCGTGCCGACAAGTTTCCCGTTTATTAGAAAAATTCTATCGACTAAAAACGTAATCTTGTAAACTGTTCTTAATTTAAAGCTTCGTTTATTTTCATGCCATTTCTTTTTTCTTTCTTTTTGTGGCTATGTTTCCGCTTATCGATCGTCAAGGATGATATCGCGCCGGTGAAAATGATACGGAGACGATGACCTTTCTCGTGAAACATGTAACACAATGTCATGCCCGCATTGTAAAGTTCGCAAATTCTCTCTACGGTACGCTCATTTTGATGTTATTCACTTATGGAGCTCTAGTTATTCTCTGTTAAATATAAACTCTCGAAGTTGGCGGAGTTTAGGTCCATTTAAGCTGTTTTTCGTATGAATCTAAATTACTTGCCAGCAGCTAGATACATAGCTAGATTAATGCCTTTGCAGTTCCGGGTCAAAATGGACCCGAGCACTATCATTCAAAAGTCAATCATTGCATAATCACCACTCACTCGAGCGTACAACGCAAATACAATCTTGAAGAAAGCGTAATTTCGCACAAACGTAAGATTCTCAATTTATATTACATGTTATAAAGTTGTGATCGTATGTGTGTATTATATGTATATTAGACAGGGTGTTCAAAAATTATGGTATTTTCGGGAAATGAGGAGCTCCTGAGGTCATTTGAAGCAACTTTTTCCTTAGCGAAAATGCAATCCGCGACTTTGTTTGCGAATTATTAACGAAATACACTGACCAATGAGAAGCCAGCTCGGTGTCTGACGCAAGATTAGTCGTCTTGCGCTAGCTGATCTCGCCTGGCACTGTTTTTCGCTTGTAACTTGTAAACGCAGCCGCGAATTGCATTTTCGCTGAGGAAATTTCCATTTCCCGGAAGTACCATAATTTTGGGACACCCTGTATATATGTAATATAATATACACATACAGTATACATTTCACACATTCTTTCGTTAGTAATGACTAGTTGTCTACATAACGCTCGAGTTTCGCGTTATAAATAACGATGTACACAAAAACTTATGACGACAACCTAATGCAAATTAAGAACACTGTTTGACGTTAGCCCTGCGATCGTAAAAAATCCTAATTAACATTACGCACAAGTAGTAGTTCCTCTTTTTAAGATTTAAATGCGATCTTATGTAAAGGCTTCGATGAATAGATACAAAAGTTAATCTGTGACTTTCAGTGAGTGAGTGTTGTAGTATCGTAGTTTCCGTAAACGAAGATTGATTTTTAATTCGGCAAAGGATAGTTGTTTAATGTCTACATATGTACAGTAGCAAAAATGAAGGAATGAGAGTTGTAAATGAAATATAGTCGTTAGTATGTTCGGATCCTGTGTCTCCTGACGATTTTTTAAACAATTTGTAATCCGAGTTGATATTTACTGTTGCTCAGAACAATGCGTCTGCATAGCTTTAGGATGGCAGAGATGTTCTGCAGCACGGCTAAATTCCTGGTTTGCTTTTGGCAGACCCCGCAGACAGATACAGTCTTAGAGCACTTGTAAGAACACTTCATGACATTAACGTCTTTCCTAGATCACATAGGTGCTGAGTCCAGCTGGACCGTTAAATGCCTTACTCCAGCTGCTTGGAATATCATCTGTGTGTGCGCTACGACGTACTTGGGGTCTACTGTTCTAGCCACTTCCAACTTCAAACACCCGACATAGACGTCCGAACACAAGGTCCAGAAATGCGGTTCTTGTACACTGTATACTCCAGCCAATTGGGTCACTTTGTTGTAACACTGCGGCAGAACGTGATCCAGTGCCGCCGGCTGCCTTTGCNGGCGGAGTTTAGGTCCATTTAAGCTGTTTTTCGTATGAATCTAAATTACTTGCCAGCAGCTAGATACATAGCTAGATTAATGCCTTTGCAGTTCCGGGTCAAAATGGACCCGAGCACTATCATTCAAAAGTCAATCATTGCATAATCACCACTCACTCGAGCGTACAACGCAAATACAATCTTGAAGAAAGCGTAATTTCGCACAAACGTAAGATTCTCAATTTATATTACATGTTATAAAGTTGTGATCGTATGTGTGTATTATATGTATATTAGACAGGGTGTTCAAAAATTATGGTATTTTCGGGAAATGAGGAGCTCCTGAGGTCATTTGAAGCAACTTTTTCCTTAGCGAAAATGCAATCCGCGACTTTGTTTGCGAATTATTAACGAAATACACTGACCAATGAGAAGCCAGCTCGGTGTCTGACGCAAGATTAGTCGTCTTGCGCTAGCTGATCTCGCCTGGCACTGTTTTTCGCTTGTAACTTGTAAACGCAGCCGCGAATTGCATTTTCGCTGAGGAAATTTCCATTTCCCGGAAGTACCATAATTTTGGGACACCCTGTATATATGTAATATAATATACACATACAGTATACATTTCACACATTCTTTCGTTAGTAATGACTAGTTGTCTACATAACGCTCGAGTTTCGCGTTATAAATAACGATGTACACAAAAACTTATGACGACAACCTAATGCAAATTAAGAACACTGTTTGACGTTAGCCCTGCGATCGTAAAAAATCCTAATTAACATTACGCACAAGTAGTAGTTCCTCTTTTTAAGATTTAAATGCGATCTTATGTAAAGGCTTCGATGAATAGATACAAAAGTTAATCTGTGACTTTCAGTGAGTGAGTGTTGTAGTATCGTAGTTTCCGTAAACGAAGATTGATTTTTAATTCGGCAAAGGATAGTTGTTTAATGTCTACATATGTACAGTAGCAAAAATGAAGGAATGAGAGTTGTAAATGAAATATAGTCGTTAGTATGTTCGGATCCTGTGTCTCCTGACGATTTTTTAAACAATTTGTAATCCGAGTTGATATTTACTGTTGCTCAGAACAATGCGTCTGCATAGCTTTAGGATGGCAGAGATGTTCTGCAGCACGGCTAAATTCCTGGTTTGCTTTTGGCAGACCCCGCAGACAGATACAGTCTTAGAGCACTTGTAAGAACACTTCATGACATTAACGTCTTTCCTAGATCACATAGGTGCTGAGTCCAGCTGGACCGTTAAATGCCTTACTCCAGCTGCTTGGAATATCATCTGTGTGTGCGCTACGACGTACTTGGGGTCTACTGTTCTAGCCACTTCCAACTTCAAACACCCGACATAGACGTCCGAACACAAGGTCCAGAAATGCGGTTCTTGTACACTGTATACTCCAGCCAATTGGGTCACTTTGTTGTAACACTGCGGCAGAACGTGATCCAGTGCCGCCGGCTGCCTTTGCATTAATATTTCCCATGAGTCTTTCATCAGCGAAAGTACACTTAAAACTATCAATACTGCAATCAACATCGAGCAGATTGGATCAGCTATGAACCAGCCAAACAGGCGCATCAGCACTGCCGATACAATTACGCCCACGGATCCCAAAGTATCTGCTAAGATGTGCAGGAACACTCCTTTCATAATCTGAGAATTTGTGCCACTGAAGGAGGGATCGATTTCAATGTCGTGGTGATCATGGCTGTGACTGTGGTTCGAGTGGGAGTGTCCATGGCCACCGTGAGAATGGGAGTGAGAATGGCCATGACCCGATCCATGACCATGCCCGTGTCCATGATGGAATACGTATATTCCTACTAAATTAACTACTAGTCCTAGAACAGATACAACGAGAAGTCTCTCGTGTTTCACCTCTGGCGGTTCGATAGACCTTTCTACAGCTTCTGACATGATGAACAGAGCAATGAAGAATAATAATAGAGCATTAACGAAGCCTCCCAAAACCTCTGCTCTAACATATCCATAGGAATATCGTTCATTCGCCTTCCACTTTGTAATAACAGATGCAGCTAAACCAAACAACAATCCTGTGCAATCAAAGAACATGTGGAAGCTATCTGAGATCAAGCCCAAACTGTTTGTCCATACTCCATACAATAATTCAACAAATGCAAAGGACAGATTCAGCAGCAGGAATAGAAACAAGTTCCTGGTGTTTTTGTCAGAAAATATTAGGTGTTTCCATCCTAGTAGCTTCTTCTTTATCCGGCTCCCCAGATTCCTCTGGTCTTTGTGCGAAAGAGGAAGCATTTTGCAAAATTGCCAGGACTTTGTTCACAAATGATCTCCCTATAAAGACAAAATTCGTCAATACAACACGATCAGTCAGAAATGTTCGCATTCGAAATTATAATGAATCTTATACCTTTAATTTTGTTCAGAAGGTTGGAAGCCGTTATTGGAACCAGTCGGGAACCTAGAAAATATTAGCATAATTATTACATCCATTTTTGTAATCAGTTCATGTAACTATTAAACCTGTGTACACTCCTTTCTCACGTTTTTCGTTTTCTTGTTAATAAATGCAATAAATAGTGTTACCTTTTTAAGGTGTGTTTGAGATCAATTAATACAGAATCTAACATTAAAACACGTGTTAAAGTTATCGTTATCGTCATCTCAAATTTATGGGCGTGTATGTACACTTTTGTGACTGACTGTAGATGCTACATATGTTACCCCGAAATTTCGTTTTTCTGAATAAACATTAGTCAATTGTTTCAACATGCACAATGATAGTACAATTTACACGCGAATTATACGTGTCACTGAAAACAATTGTCAAACATAATTAAAAATATGTTGCCAGCAAAGTCGCTAGTCACACAGCTGATTATATGAGAGCATTGCTTATCAGTGAATAATACCGGTTAAAACAACACCTGGAATTGTTCTCCTGAATTAGACACACTGTTCTAAAGGATCTGTGCCGTACAAGCTGATTACGTTACTACAATCAAACACAGACCATTAAAAAGTCGCACCAAATAAAAACACAATTGACACGTCACAACGGTGAAAGGTTTTGTTAACCTTACAAGAGCCTGACTTATGCAATGGAAAATACCTTTTTACTACGAAGCTGCGTATAAAAGCGAAGACTCAGGATGGATTTGGCGACATCAAATTGTATTCTTAAAGCAAATACATGTTGCAAACGCGTCAGAAAGGTAGAAAACCGGGCTCCGAAAATGCTTGGCAGAGCGCCATGCTTAACACGCTGCAGCCACTCCTGAGCCACAGATTATGTACTATACTAGGCGTGAAACTAATTTCTATCGAGCCTAAGACGTGCATGTTGATTTCTGTCACTAAATTAAATGACAAGAATTGAAGATATCAGTAATCGTGGCAATATTTGAAATGTAACACAGTAGAATTTAATACACGTATCTAATTTTATAAAATATATATCATACATAAAAAATTATTTCTTACATTTGTAACAATACATATTCATGTTCCTATACTTTGTACTGAAAATTGTAAATTATGTAATCCATTTTAGATAATTCTGAAACTATGTTCAAAGTATACAAACTTGTGTACGCAGGCGAATTAGAAATTCGTGTATTTAAAAATCGAGTTTTGAATCTACGTATACAAATCTTTAATGTCTGAACGGTTGACAGCTGGACAATAAATCTGCACCACGTGCATATTTTTAATTTATAATTTTCTTAATCTCCCAAAAAAAAAATTAGATATAATTTATATATGGATCGTTTAAATCATGATAGCCCTTTTCGGTAAATGATCTCTGCTTTTAATCGGTGACAAAACTGACTAACGTAGTGCAACAGAGGTCGCTGAGGGCAATATGATTTAGATATGGCGACCTGCTTACTTCCCTTTTCTTTCCGACTCGACAGTCATCATGGTAAGTATTCGACGTGCACTTTTCCTTGTTGTTTAGCAGTGTAATTAAATGAAATAACCACAAAAGTGAAATAAAAATCTTTCTAAAAGTACACAGTGAAACTTCTATTAGAAGAGATTTCTAGAAAATAGCATAATATATATTTCGCATGTGATTAACCGTTTAATCTTTGTCAGTGACTTCATCCACATGGTGAACACTATGCATACGATACACTTGATCATAAGTTTTTTTAGTAACAATAAACTTTCATTGAATCGATCTTTTGAGTTTAACTTATATGTGTTAAATGCGAGCAAGATTAACGTCCATTTTATTTGTATGATCATGAAAAACAACCCTGCTTGCTTGTTGACACGTAACAATCCAAATAGAAATTAATCTTTCATGATGAAAGACTCATGCTAGATATTCCTGATAGCAAAATACTGATTTAATGAGCCTGATCACTACTGTATTTGTGGACCCACAATTTATAATACCTCGAACATTTTATCTAATTATATATTTCCTTTCAGCCTCCTAAAAAGGATACAAAGGGGTCTTCTAAGCAACCCCAGAAGACCCAGAAGAAGAAAGAGGGAGGATCCGGCGGTAAAGCCAAGAAGAAGGTACTGCTACTTGTTATTCATTCATATCTGTGAATATTATCCGAGAATGTTTTAATAATGAAAATTTATCTCCTTGATAAACCGTGAAAATGTGGAATAGGATAATACACATATCCTTAGACCTAACTTAAATGGATGCATATTGACACCTTGATTTATTATTGCAGAAGTGGTCCAAAGGAAAAGTACGTGACAAATTGAATAACCAAGTGTTATTCGATAAGGGTACATATGACAAATTGCTGATGGAAGTACCACAATACAAATTGATCACACCATCTATTGTCAGTGAAAGATTGAAGATCCGTGGTTCGCTCGCCAGGAGAGCGCTAATTGAATTGCAACAGAAAGGACTTATCAAACAAGTTGTGCAGCACCATGCACAATTGATTTATACACGTACAACCAAGGGTGATGATCCTGCTGCATAAATCGTTTCTACGCAATGTACAAATCCGTTTAATAAAAAATATCTAGAAATCCAACTATCGAATTTTTAGTTTCATAATTGACAAATATCCTTTTATGTACCACTCTGTAATTGTAGAAAAAATTCTCAAACTCAGAGTTTGAAGGAATTAAAGTTAAAAATTATTCAGGATTGGTATAATTTGAGATCATTTCTACAATTATTAAAATTTTCAAAAATCTGTAATTTACATTTGTAGCTAATGGTTTCTAGTTTATGAATCTACAGAATTTTTTAAATTCAGCCATCCCGGATAACACACAGTCAATATTATACTCTACGAAAAGGAGTTATGTAAGCAACAAATAATGTACGTTATTATTCGATTTATTTCGTTTTTAGACTCGTATGGATTAGAAAAGCATCTCTAGACGGTTAAAAATATTTTCTTAATGATATTTTTAATGAAAGAATTTAGATCTAATTGTTATTTATTGGTGGGAAATGTGCTACAATGTCGCCTGTCCTCCTTGGTATTCGCTGTGTGTATGTTCTCTGAAAATGAAAAAGCATTTAAACGTATGTAGAAACGTACTATTATAGTAATGTCTTGATGTCATAAAATGTACGCCACTGGGTATGCTGCCCGGATATTACAAATTACTCCACAATAATGTAAAAATTGGTATTTTGAAGACCAAGCAGACATAGTCTGGACTTTTAAGAAATACAATCGATCACTCCCGAACTATTCATTGCGATGCTGAAATGTCAAAAAGAAATATCCGGAACTCTCACAAGTGCTTGAAACCATATGTGTACGTATAGTTTCTTCTATGTGTGTGTAGTAAGTATACAAAGTTACCACCTTGGTCTACCTTATTAGTCTATCCTGAATTAATTCAGAGTGGACCTTCCGTCTTCTAAGTGAACTACCTGACTCTACCTTCAGCTAGCTTGTGATACTAAGGGTTTTCCAATGCTACAATGACTTACCTTGAACAGTTCCTATTTCAGAATTTCTTGTCTCTTAGATTTGTTATTTGAATTTAATTATTAATAACATTTAAGTTTGCAGCTAAATAGTCCATCTTCCAACTATTAATTGAATGCAAAGTTTGTGTTCCAGGATACCTTCTTGTAAGCCATGATACCTTATGAATCAAGAGTAATATCGAGCTAATAATAGCACAGTTAGAATTTGTTGTACTATTGTAAAGTGAAATATACTGACTAAGAACAAGAATAAAAATTTAAAACATTTTTTAATAAAGTATGAAACTTTATATACTTTTCTTCGAGCTATCCTATTCTTTCTTAATAATAAAATTAATTTCTTCTCGATTTAATTTATTTGTTCCCGCTTTCGATTTATTTGATTATTTCACTATATATCGTATGTTTCTATAGATCTTTCAGAATTAGTATTTGCAAATCTAGATTTCTAATATCTCATTATGTTCGAAAACAATTTTACTTTTTTCCTAGAAAACATGTGTTTTCAGATTATGTCACTTTCGTGACAAATGGATGTAAAATTTGTCGGCTTACATGACCTGCTAGGAATACCTACAAATGATAGAGTGAGCTGCAGTTAGATAACAAATTGTGATAATGTGTCATTTGCATTTGAAAACCATAACGGAATCTGAGTACGAAAAATTAACTTATCTCTAAAAAGTGTATATAAATAACTTCAAAATAATAATTTAAATTATTATTATTATACAGAAGATATCGTGAGATTGTAACATTTGTATACTAGACATCCATCAATTTTAGTTAATTGCAGTACATTGTATGATCTGTAAATATAAATAAGTCCGACATCAGGAAATACGTGTCCACATACATTTTTGGGCTGCGCTACTGAATTGTACTGAAGTAGGTGTACACGTAGAAAAACAGTTTTACACATATAAAATACGATTTAGACTCTTAAATTTTATCATTTAACGACGTCGCCAAGACCTCTATTATTACGAAAAATAAATGCAACAATTGTATCAATAAATAAGATACGATTTAGATATTTCATTGACGGCGATGAAATAGAAGAATTGATTGAGCAGATAGTGGAGACGATGTATAAAAATTTTCAGCGATATTACTTCGAACTCTCATTGATAAGATTCAAAAAACTTCAATGAATGGTTTATATCACATATAAACCACGTTTTTTCTTTTATGACGATCCTTAAGTACCGCTTGAACATCTACGTAACTGATTAACCATATCTTACATATATAACAAGGACGTACTAAATGCATATAAATATTAAATAATGTTTCACATATCTATATATCCAACATGAAATGTGTGTGTGTGTGTATGTGTGTGTTTGTGTAATATTGTCTAATGTAACATTAAATAATAGAAACAATCTTGTACATTCATGTAATAATAAGCGTATAGTATGAGTGAGCTTACAAATATAGGAATGTATATCGCGCAAGAGGTGTGAGAACAGTTATTGTTCTTCGTCAGCTGAAATAAGATACGACTTTTATGGCATACTTTCCAGGCAGCTTTTGATATGCTGCCAAGCTTGTAGACCCTATAATAATTGCAATCGTATTTATCTATTCAGATGAGAAACAAGAATTAATTCATAATCCATAGAAAACGTGTATGATTTACCTTTCTAGCAAGCTTAAACTGTAAAATGCAATATGCAGCCAAAATTTCTTTCAGGTCTACTACTTTTTGATGTTGGAATCTCTCTATATCCATCATTGCTTTAATAGAGAAAGACCTGAAAGCATTATATATAGAATGTGTAAATATGAATTCTTTTTATTATTATTCTTCATATAAAATATTTCCATAATTGGATTATGTACGATTGTTTTAACTCACTTTAAATCTTCATCTACCCTTTTGACTGCCTCTTCGTGCTGTGCAATCTTTTGCTCTAATTGCAATATTTTCAATTCACGAACTTCCTCTGTATCTACTGAACCAAATAACCGTGACATTAACCCTGACTTTCCTGTAACAGAAAATATTATTGCATTAATACTATTAAAAAAAATTATTGTATATTTTAATTTTTAAATTTATATTTAAAAATTATTGTATATATTTTTTTTATTTATAATAATATATATTATTAGCATATTATATATAGCATAAAACCTTGCATGACTTTGTCTTTTTGTTCCAATGCAGTAGTCAGAGAATCATGTGCTTCGTCTTTAGTTAACTGTAGAGCTTCCCTTCGCTTGACAACTGCTTGTAATGCAGAAGCGCCAAACAGCCATTCTTTTAATTGATCTGCTATTAATTCTTCTTCTTCAAGAGTTGTGTCTATTGTTGCAGCTAATGAATCCAGATAGTGGCCCGATTTCTAAGAAAACAAGCTGTAATGCAGTGTGCTTTGCAATACATATACTTAGGACATATCACAGTCTTATTTTATTATATACAGAAACTATCCAAACATACAGAAGCATTTAAAATTTTTACTATTTATGTATGAGAATATTAGAATATCTTAAAGTGCCTAAAACTCAAAGTACCTGCAATCCATCACCCATTTCCCTTTCTATGGCACTCCATTCACTGAACACACGACCATAGTTTGCATGTAGTTTATACAAACTATATTGTTTCTCTACTAAACGTGCTCGTACCCGAAGAAGATTGCATAAATTATTCTAAAAAAAATATTAAATTAATAGTATCAAGTATTTATACTGTTCAGTTAAAGACCAATAATCAGCTGAATGTACAGTATACCTGTAGTTCAATTCCATAATTTTTTATTGTTTCAAATCGTTTATCTGGTTTCCTTAATCTCACTGCTACACTCAAAGCTTTTAATTTTGATTCTGCTAATTGTAAATATCCTGTTAACAAATATAAGATTATTATATGTTTCATATGTTCACAGTGACTTATCTGAGAGATTTATCTTCATTATCTTATCTTAACTAATTATAATTTACCAGTCTCTTTAACGCTTTCTCTCCAACCATCCTTTTGTTGTAGGAACCCCATGAAATGTTCATCACGAGATAATATAGGATGTGATGCTACCCTCAGAAGGAAATTCTTAAGAGAAATTTGTAAAAAACTTTTAAATAGATGTATAATACTAAACAAATGATTGAGTAAATAAAAACAAAATGAATAACATAGATATACCTCAAGTCCTGCTCTACGTCGATCAACAAAATCTGGATCAAATGTATCGGTAGTAACTTTTTGCCAGGGATAGAGAACTTTCTTTTCTGGTAGCGGAGGCAGCACAATGTATGGATATGAAATCTCTAAATAAGCCCTGAGCAATTCAAATTCCGTATATCGACGCCATAGAGAACTTACTTTGCTAAGTGCTCCTTTAAAATCAGCATCAGTAACTCTACAAAAATATAACAAAATTCCCTGTATATGAAACAATGACTATGATAAGATATACCTATTAATCTCATCATACTCACTTAGTCTCAATGAGGTAGACTATATAAAATTCTCTTAAATTCAATGTTCCATTTGCACGTTTTTCAGCCTCAACAATAGAAATCTCCATATGATCAAATAATGAATCCTAATATATAATACAATAGCTATATTATCATATGTATAATTACTTATATCATTCAATACCAAACAATTTATTTGTATAGGTATTATATTGTATTATATATTTATAAAAAGGACTGCACTGAAATAATAGACGAAATAATGATCTATGAAATTAAATGAAACAAAATTTTAATTTTTATAAAATAAAAATTGTAAAAGATGCTGTTCAAATATTGTTGAATTTTTAAAATAAAAATGGGAACGAACAGCAAGTTAAAGTTCATAAAGCCAATTTTAATCTAACTACAATCAGTCATATGCATGTGACATACTTGATAAAAATCGCGTGTGTACTCGCTCTACTATAAGTACCGCCAACACCTGTGCAATGGTGCTCAAACAAACAGTTCATCGAGTTTCTAACTGTTGATTTTATATGACCTTACACACATAGATATATATTTGTAGTTTTTATATATATATACTGAGAAAATTTTTTTTAAATAATATAAATAATATATTTCCATTTCAAATACGTAACATTAATGTAACGCCCGTCAGTCTTTCCATAACGAGTACATTGTTAACAAATAAGTAAAAGTTAAAGTAAAGAATGACGTAAATATATTAAAAATAAGAGTGTAGTGATAATTTGTTAAAAACAAATTCATACACAAATGTTGAACACGGAGATACACAGACTTTTAATAATTTGTAGAGTATCAACAACAACAGAACATGAGAAACACTGAGCGTCATTTCGATTCTCTTGCAACACGCATACGATTTCGGCATTATTGAACAAGTCTTTCGTCTAAACAACATTGAATTTCGTCCACTTGCAGGAACAAAGTGATTACTGTACAATTGAAATAACTATTCAAAAGGTATTGTTTAAAATATAGAATCCAACGATGTACATATATCGATTTGGCGGACGAATTAAAACGGAAAGAGAATCGAAGCGTTACTTACCTCTTTCTGCAATTCCGTAGTGGTCATATTTGCATTCGCCTCTCTCTGGTAATTCCCGTTTTGAAATACCTCTTCCATGGTTTCAAATTGATCTAACAAATCTACAAAATGACCAGAGAACTTCAAAATCTTTCACATCACGTACACTTTCTCCATTACTGTCACAGCCGCTCAATTCGACTGACAATGAGGGACTCCTGTGTTGGACAGAACTAAATTCCCTTTAGGTTGGATGATAACAATATTCGTTTATCCCTAACTCGGCATTCGCTGACTTTCATCGATACGATCATTGTAATATTGATCATTTTCGTAAACAATCGTATATGAAAAATTTTGCGAAGTACATTTCCCATACATATAATTTTCATTTACAAAGCCATGGATACTGTCTAGGGATTTCCAGACGTCATATAGTGCAATCACACGGTCTATAGTGTATGGTGTTATAGTTCATTAATGTTCTGATAAAAATGATATCAACGTATTGTAACGTCGGTAACTGATGCGTCCTCACTTGATTCGTAGCACAGACTTAGGATCCGTGCAGACATTGTATCTTATGGGCTATTCTGTCTCAGCTTTGGGGAGCTCTAGTGTCCCTTATCATTTCGTGTCGCAATCAGCATTATCGATAGTTCGCGAAAAATAGGCACGGAGAACATTCCGGGATGCCTGTGACACCTCAACATAATCATTCATTCTCACACTAAAGTACATGTTAGTTTCTGAAATCGATTGATAGTTAGTTAGAGATTCTAATTTATTAGTAATACTAATAATTCCGGAATAAATACCATCTCGGTAGAGTTGAATTTCTCAAGACTTTTGCAGGCTTTTATTAATATATTCGATTGAAGCTAGTTTCAATTTCAAACCGACGCAAAATTCACTGCCTAACCACACATACACGCACGCGCGCGCGCGCGTAAATACTATTCCACGTGCTGTTCCTCGTACCCTCCGAATAACGCTTGGGCACTCGAAAGAATTCGAACAAAGAACGTGGTATCTCGGATCTCTGAAAATCCTGTTTAAAAAGAGTCGTTAGTTCCTCGGCTAAGATCCTTCGATTTTTTAATAACTTTACTAGTTCGAAACGATTTTCTCCGGTTAAAGACAATCGCGATCGAAAAGACAAATCTAACCAACTTCTCCAAGCGAGATGGCTCGCTTAAACATGTTCAATAATAATTTCATAATAATAATTTCAATACATGTTCAAACATGTTTAGTAATAATTTCATAACAAAAGAGAAAGTCTACTTTCGACTTCAATCAAATATGTTTCACTTATCGGGAAACGTTTTATCGCACGTGATCGCTAATGCAATTAGACGGAACAAAGCTATTCAATACGTTAATACAATAAATGCACCAATATAATTTTTGTAATATTCGTATTACGATAATCGCATGTTATAAAAGATTAATCTTTCGGCAGTTTCGGAATAAAATTATTAGAACTTGAAACAATCCTAAGAAATCGCGGCGAGCAAAAAGACCGTACCTAAGTAGGAAACAGATTACCACTCAAAGAATTGCCGGACTGTCACTGTACACTCACTGTATTCGTTAAAATGCTGTACAATCTCTATATAATAAAAAAAGATAGTACTTTGAATGCTCACTCACTAATTGATGAGAGGAGGGAACTTCGTTAGTTTCCTGGAAGTTTAAATTTCTTACATATCGGTAACGCTGGGCCTGACACGAGAATGGCAATGGGGCGTACGTACATACATTGTGCAGTTGTACATAGTTGGCAGTACTGTCTCATTCAATCGAGTTTCTTTCTCATTCCTAATAGAAAACGCCAGTGGCTCCATCTCGTGTTTATCAAACTGCTGCACATCTCTGGGTAATACCATTTCTGTAACGAAATCTGCACGGCTATGTTGTATTCGTGAAGTTTTCAAATTATGGCTGTCGGAGTACTCGAATATTCGAACGCGGCTCGAAATCCCGACCGAGCCGGGACTCGGTTTTCGAACCGACTAAACCGAGCTGGTAAAACCGAGCTGTTCAAAAGGATCGAATAGCTCGAAAGAAAAATATCTAAAACGAAGAGCCGCTTGAAATGCGTTCGAATTGCTCGCTCACATTCGAGCCGCTCGAAACAGTTCAACTTCAAATCAATTTATATTTGAGCCGTTTATTTTGAAAGTGGCATAAGTCACTTTGTTTTTAAGTCGAGATATTTAAGGGTTTGCGTTTTAATACGTTTCAAAATATGGATGCTAACTTTCGAGAAGATTTACTTGTTGATTTGTTATCTCAGGATACTGATATTTTTCTCAGTATAAATAATTTCGTATAAACATGAAAAAATCACCACTTTTCATTACGGTAAAGTGACTTAAGCCACTTTCAAAATAAATAGTTTAGAAAAATGAAGTGATGTTTCGAAAGGACAGTGATTTACTAAAATTGTTGAATAAATTACATATATAATAATAATTTATACCATGAACATATTCAAA